ACTGTTTTTGCCACCTGCTTATATACTGTTTCACCAACCTTGAATGTTATCTGGCCTGGTTTTGCTTCGCTATTACCTGTTCCATGTTTTTGGCCACGTGCACTGACACATATTCCTGAACGGCTTTCGCATGTATTTTGTGCTTGATAACATGGTCCTGTTAAGACTGCTTTGGATAAAGTAACTCTAGTGGATTTTCAGAAGCTGTATGTCCGAATAGTAACTCGTGTGGAGTATATTCTGTTGCCGAATGGATCGAGTTATTGTAAGCGATGACTGAAAATTTGATAATTAATTGTATGGCATCATCTTTATTCGTCATCCGTTGGATCCTGATAATCTCTCATATAGTTGAATAAAAACGTTCTATGGGTGAGTTCGAATTTGGATTTTATGGAGTCGTGAAGTGAATGTTAATACCATGTAAAGCGCAAATCTCCTTTAGAACTTCATTGTCAAATTTACTGTCTGACTCCGTTGTAGTTTTATGAGGAATTCCTAAAAAAGAGAACACCTGAAATAAAGCTTCAGCTATATGTACACTACTAGTAGCGTTCAACGGTATTCATTGGGAGAACCTTGAGATATTATCTACTACTTATAGTGAGGAAGGTCGCATCGCCTGTATCAGATCCATAAATATATGTTGCATTGGTTTTGTAGGCGTTTCTGTTAAGGCTACTGAAGGTGTAAGAGGGTTTCTTTTTTATTTGTCTTGTGAACAGATACTATATTGATTTATGGATGCCTGGATTGTGAGTAGTATGTGAGGCCATAGCGGTTTCTATGGATTTGATAATGTTTTTCGGATACCACGATGCACAGTTTTGCCTTCATATTTCTTAATTATTTCTGGTTGTTCTGTCTTGTTTTCGACAAGGGTAACGCGTGAATTACATCTAAAAAGTTTAGGGCCTCTGTCATTAAATACCGTCGTGTAAACTCTAGAGAACGCTAGGTATGATTCTTTGTTATAAAAGTAGCAGTAGAATACGCGATTAGCAATAGTGTGTTCTTTTAAGAATTGGATAAATTCTTGTTCTGTGTTATTGACTTGAATAAATACATTTTTAATTACTATTCTAGAATTTGTAGACCTATTTTCTACCCTGTATGTTGATCCTGGAGTTGACTTGATATGGAAATATTTTAGTTGTCTGTCGATCGCCTGACGCCTCCGATAAGATTTTTATCCCGTTGTTTTTGATTGTCAGGTTACGTATGGTTTGTCGATACTAAGTGATCAGGATCGAATGTAACGATACTCATGCTATCGGATTCAGTGTCTGTTAGAGGGGGTTGTACGTTGTGTCTAAAAATATAATTAATTTAATTTTCTGAAAAGTTACAAAATAATAAATTCAAATAAAATGTAAAATTACAAAAGTAATTAAGTGCTGCGTGGATTGTTTCAGACTGCAAGACAGTTCCATTGTCCACACGGTGATACTTTTCACAGAGCATGCAGCATTCCACATTTGCTGATTGTTCTTTCTAACTGCTATGCCAGCGCGATTCTTCGAATTTTCCGATAAAATTCCGAACTTCGGACATATCTTTTTTTTCGTCTTTTTTTTTCATTTCGCCCACTTGGACAACTTTTCACTTTACAAACTTTTCCCATTATTGTTCGTATTTTTTTAAGCTTTACAACAGTAAAGACAATAAAATCACGAAAAAGTAATATCAAAAGCATAGAAAACTGTATTATAGTCAATGGTATGTCTTTCCTAGTGTAGTGGTGTTGGGAGTAGTAGTGTTGAGAGTAATGGTGAAAAAAAAACGAGACAGCATGAATGATATCTGTATCTTGTCAAAACCACGCGCGAAGCTTAAAACATTTATGGTGACTGATTGAGTCCGACTGGTGAGGAAACATGAAAATATCATAAAATATGAAAATGTAGTAGCAGTCTACAGATGTAACAATTTTTGCTGTTAAAATTATATGTCCAAAATACAGATTAAGGACGCCCCGACCAGGAGTGAATCGGGACTTGTCGCCAGATCCCTAAAAATCGGGACGTCCCGCGCAAATTGGGACACCTGGAACACTAAGTATGATGTTTTACAGGTTTTTACAGGAAAAAGGAAGACGCTGTCAGAATTAAAACTATTGTAGAATTACATATAAGAGGTCAATATTATTTCCAAGTAATATCGTTACTAATACAAGTTTGGTTGAAATAGTTTTTTTTAACTATTCAAGATCTGTAAACATCACATCTGAAATCCCTTAATTCGACTTAATACCACTCTCCTGTCTCTCCTGTACATTACTTAGCGCAAGTTAATACAAATAAACTAGGTAAGTAACTAAAATAAACTTCTATCTCCTATACTATATAATACCAGGATGGTCTGAAAAATTTCCGACCTCAAAGTGAAGATGCCAGCACTCGTCAATGAAAGCTAGTGAATGTGGTTGTATATCTTTTGCCAGTGACGCACCAAAATTTCAATAATTTTTATGCGAAGTTGTTATTTGACAGTCGCTTGAGAAAGTCGATGTGAGTTTTCTTGTGAAAATGAAAAAAAAAATTGAGTATAGAGCTGTCAATCAATTTTTGTGTTTGAATGCAATACGCCTACGCAAATCAAAGATGAGTTGGACTCAATGTATAAGGACTCTGCATCATAATTTGCAAAGCTGAATACAAACGTGGCCGTGAGAGCATGGGAGACAATGAACGTTCTGGAGTCCAAAAACTGCAAGTACTGACGATAACATCGCTAAAGTTTACCAAATGGTGCTGGACGGCCGCCGAATTAAAGTGAGAGAGATCGCAGAGGCTATGAAAATGTCCAAAGAACGTTTTTGTGAAATATTAAATTAGTAACTGTATATGAAATTTGGATACACCATTAGAAACAAAAATACAGTCAAAACAATGGACTGCAAAGGGGAAACCGCTCTAAAAAAGCAAAAAAAAACTGTTTTTACGACTGGGAAAGTGATGGCGAGTGTTTTTTGGGATAGTCATGGAGTTATCTTAGTGGATTATCTTCAAAAAGAAAAAAAAACATTACAGGAGCATACTACGCATAATTACTTGAGAAGCTGAAGGCAGAAATTCCGGAAAAACGGTCATATTTGCAGAAAAAGAAAATTCTGTTTCAACATGACAACGCGCTGTCTCACACCTCAGCGGTTGCCATGGCGAAATTCCACGAATTACGGTTTGAACTGCTTGACCTTCCGCCTTATTCACCAGATCTAGTTCCAAGCGACTTCTTTTTGTTCCCACATCTAAAAGGAGACTATGTAGAAAAATAAAAATAAATTTTAAGAAAAATGTCTCGTATCTTTGTTAGGTCGGAAACTTCAGACCACCCACGTATATTACATTCAAAGCATAAATTTTCTAATATCCATTCCAGTTCCATTAAAATTTAATTTAATAATCACTGTTTTCTCGATACAAATATTTTATACTGAAGAAATCCATCCTTTTAGAAAAATAAAAGTTGGATTCATACATATAATGCCATAGATTTAAATAATTTACATTAACCTTGAAATTCGGTACAAAACTATATTTTATTTAAGTTTAAGTTAAGTATATTTTTTATTAATTTATTATTTTCTTAATCACAATTTGTTTAATGAGATAACGATAAGATGGACTTCCGAGGAACAGAGAGTATCCCTACGTCCGAGGAACGTTGCTCTGAAATCAGTTGCAAATCTATGACAGAACAACAATACTACGCACTATGGGAATGTACGAGTACCTAGGTATGTGGATTTAACAGAGCCGTGCCTCGACCCCGTAAGAATAGTCACGTAGCGTAGCGTTATGTTATATCTTTTACAATAAAAATAAAATAAATATTACTTTTCTAATAAATTATGCAGCTGATTGGTCAATTTCTATAACGATATAACTATACTACAGAATAAGAATTAAATGGCGGACGTCCGGTACGCTAGAACGCCACAACTAAACGTTGAAACATGGAAGTGATTACAATTGACCCCCGATAATCTGGCCCCTATCTAATCCAGCACCCCCTGTAATCCGACATGGTCTATTATTTATTATGAAATATATTTTTGACAATCTTCGAACAAATTATAATTTGTACGCACCACCACTACTGTGCTCGACGCGTAGGGTATTGTTTTGATTCTGATTGCTTAGTTTGAATTTGACTACATGTGATGAGGATAGCGGTGCGACCTAGCGTGTGTTCAGAGAAGATAACATATAGAATCTTATCATTGGATCTGTAATTTGTCGGATTACAAGGTACTCTTTTGTAAAAAAATCCGGACTATTCTTATGTGTCTATTCTACTATTCTAGGGTGTCTTAGGCAGTACATACGACAAATTCGATAGTTCGACACTGCCCTGTAAAATGTTTGTTGGAATACTGGGGGTCTACTGTATACTATTTACGTTGGAGCCGTGTCACTCGGAAGTCGATCTTGCGAGCTTGCGTGCCACGCTACAGCCGCAGTTGAATTCCAGCCACAAATAATAATTAAGTCCATACTTTAAAAAATAACCTTCGTAAGGTTATTGACTACACATTACTATCTATCCATACCCAAAATTACATTTTAAGTAGCTTGCCGAAACATTTAACGAGAAACTTTATCAAATTTTTGTCATAGTTACAAGGCCATTAGGTACTATTTTGCCTTAAACTCGATTAAAAATAATCAAATAAAATTTTGGTCTTCTAGAAACTTTTTACAATATGGTTTATATACAATATCAGGAAATAGGTAAAGAATTAACAAAAAGCCCGTGCTTTAAATATTTACATTAGACTTGATAAGTCACATTAAATTTTTGATGCGTTTTAACTGTTTTTAAACTAAGGACTTTTAAAACCTAAATAATATCACAAGAAATTGATAGTCGGCACATTTTCATTTAAATGTACCTACAGCTTATTTTAAAGAAACAAATAATGTCGCAACAAATGACGTCTCTGTGACAAAATTCCTCGTCGTCGACGGTTCATAATTTTCTGGGGCAGCGTGACGTCAGACGTGTCGGTCGTGACGCGCGGGCGGCGCCAGCGACATGGGGCGCGAGTCGAGCTTGCTCTTGTGTGTGCTCGGTGACAGGGACTCGGACTCCTGAGAGAGGGCCGGCGTTACTGGTGCCGGCGCAGCGTCCGGCACTAGCTTACGGATGAACTCCGATGTACAAGGCCATGGTACCAACCTGTAAGAGATTAATAAATTAGATGAATTTTGAATATTTCTACAAAATATTGATAATGTGCACGCTATAATATATTTTCGGGATAGCGATGTTTGTACAGAGCTTATTCTTCTTCTTTATAAGTCCATAACAGTGATTTGGTGGACGTGATCCAATATTAGGACAAGGATCACGATAAAGTTTTTCTTATAGAAGAACTACTACTCAATATCTAGGCTCCAAGTCTGTCTATAGAAGTCCCAGAAATCAAAGCAACTACCAAGCGAATCCTTTAGAGGTCGTTACTGTGTTGGTTTTTTCAATAATTAAAAATACCAACACACTTGGTAGGATTTCCTTGCGCCCAACCATCAAAACATTTACTATTCCACTGCATAAATTTACATATTCTGAGATTCCTTTACTACTTCGGTCAGTTTAGCGGTTCTAATAAAATACTCTTATATTATACATAATTTAATTTAATTTTATAATTGTTCATTTTATTACTTTGAATTTTTGACTAAATGCTAACATGTTATTCATTGTATTTAATTTCATTAACATAGAGTTGCAAAAAGCATTTTATTAGCATGCGAGAATGGGTTGAGATAGTTGCAAAAATAAATATGACCTCGAAAATTAGTAAAAGCTTTGAGTTGAAGGTCCAATCGTTATTTGTAGTAATGGACACATTAACATTTAAAACCGGTTTCATTTTTCGCAAGTTGCGAATATAAAGTATGTAAGTAACTATACGCATAATACCATGCTTTTTACATCAACAAATTTTCAGACTTACTATTAAAAATGTTATAGACAAAATTGAAATATTACCAAATTTATTTTTTATTATTTCATTACTAATATATAACAAAAATATATGGTAGTAAAATTATGATTAGAAATAATAAATAATAAATTAATCTTACTGTTCACAGTAGTTTTAGATTTATTTACAATGTTTACCTTTGTTTATTGAAGATTAAACGCATCCATATATCGCAATTAAAACAATAATTTGTTACATTGTGTAAACTAAAGAGTATATAGTGTTATTTTCAGAATAGATAAATTTTAAACTTAAGTTCATTAAAAATATAAAAAGTGATATACCGGTAATGCAGTTTTAAAAAGTACTAGTAAAAAAAGACTTCTACTTTTATTTGAGATTATTCCAAATTGAATGTGATTAACGACTGTGTGCGTGCGCAGTAAAATCATTTAAAATAATGCATTACCACGCATTTTGAATTTAAAAGATAACGTTTGAGATTTTTTAAATTAATTTTCCTTCACCAATTTTGCCTGTATTACTTATTCTGAAACTCCTCTGCAAATTGGGCCGGTTATTCCAAAATAACCCTGTATAATCACTAAAACAATACGGTAGCGACATAGAATATTATTCTATTTTTTCTTCTTCCCCATGATGTATGGAAATAATAATCCAACCTGTGATAATGTATTAGAGAAAACAGTGCAATTACAACTCTTGTACAGGGTTGGGAGTGTTTTAAACTAATAAATAAAAGTAATAATAATATTTCGACATGAGTAACAGAGTTCTCGTATGTATAACTTACTTAGTAGGTACATTTACTCATTCATTTCAGACTATCAAAGTCTACGGTTCAATTATTTACGGTTAATTCCATAGATTGCCTCTTAGGGGGAATATTTGCCATAGCTGCAACGCTTGGCAAGCGAGTTGACAACCGCAGTATTGTAGTAAAAACTTCTTTAGGTCCGGTTTACATTTTGAGAAGTGACAAGTTCGAGTAGCAAGTGCAACTGACAAATGACAAGTGCTTAATGCGTGTGAACTGGCAGTGAAAAGTGATGTGGGAATAAAATACGCACTTGTCACTTCTCACTTGCCACTTCTTACTTGCCACTCGCACTTGTCACTTCTCAAAATGTAAACCGGGCCTTAGAATGGTTGTGATTTGAATCTCGATGAAACGAAAAAGCGACAAACATATACATCTATAAAATTTAGCCTGCGATAGAATTAATTAGATCCTTTTTATGGGTACGACACATTCAATAGTAGTCCTCAGTGGTGACAAGCATTTTAAATGTAGATGTCTATGTGCCACAGTACCCACTTACCATCAGGTGGGCTGTGCGATCTTTTATCTCCCTCATTCTATAAAAAAATATAGTATACATTCTTACTTATTATCTCGGTATCATTTTTGAAGTTTTCACTTCTACCGCACGTGAACTGCACAGATTTTTTAAAAAATATTTATGTTGTTATGTAGGAAGATGTTGCTGGTCTTCTCCTGTTTTAATATCCCCCTGTAGCCTCTTACGATACACATGGGTGATATGAAATACTGGATTCCTATATGCTGCCACTAAACGGCAACGGCTCGGCTGCTTGTATGATCTGCTAGTCAGAGTACCTGGCTATTTGATCACGGACCCTAGGTTCTAACTTCAGCTAAATCCAACATTTATATTACCGATTCAATTTTATATATTTATATTTTGTACTTTTGTAAAAACATAATTTGTTGGTTGGTTGACCCTGCATAACTGGGATAATGATAACTGCGATTTTGTTAGATAAAAATATTACTATCAGCACGGATAAGTTGGAAAAAGTGAGCATTTAATATTGTTGCACTGTAATATTTTCTGCGCAGTTGATTACCCATCATTTATACGTTTCTATTGAAATAAAACAGCCAAACTCATAAGTTATGGGAAAAACTTACAATTGACATTTCCTCACATGTTTTCTTGTTCTCACATAGGATAAATATAAAAAGCTGGTTGACTACGTAAGATACACTTTTATAGCGTTTCGTCTTGTCGGCCAATAAGAAAAGATAACTAAGAGATGGTAGAGATGGCGGTTTAAACATAACATAAATACCAAATAAAATACGTACACCTGCAATTAATTGAGAAAAGTGTCAACTGTGCAAAATATCTTGCAGTTCTTCTCATCGAGCTGTATACGATTCACTGCGGGATATTATGAGCTTTTTGCGTGTTAGAGAGATCAATTAATGAAAAGTCAATATTTGCGATAGCCAATTGAATTGCTAACCGTGATGATTATGATATTTTTTCTGGCTACAGAAGAGTCCCACACCCAACTGTGGACTGTTAAATGTTGCCAATGAAATTGGTTCAATATTTATTATATTTTTTTACGTTTTAGCTTTAGCTTGTTCATATTGTCAAGGTATGAATACAGTTACATTTAATTATTTATGACAAAAGATTTATATTACCATTTAAAAGGCATCAGCAGCCGGAAGTAGCCCGGCATAACGGCGAAGTGCTCGTTGGTGCGGATCGCGTACACCACACGGTCGGCTACCTCGTTCGAGTTCAGTAGCGGCACGAACCTGTTGATGTTACTGCGTTGGTACTCATTGTCTCACACATGCGATTCATTTTTATTAAGTTTATTACGCGGTAAAGCCACGCTGCAGCTATATGGTGGTTGTAGCACGAATTGGTCGGCTCGACCGTGGTAGGACACAGTCGAGTCACAGAATACCAGCGTAAAATAGCAGCTTGATGCTGCTGTGTTTCGTACGGCGAGTGTAAAGAACGACAGACCCATCTTACTAGTAACGAGGCATGCTATATCAGTCCTCAGAGGTGAAAACGCATGTGCATTTTAATTCTTAATTGAGGATACATGTAGATGTATATGGGCTACAGCATTCACTTACCATCAGGTGGACTGTGTACTCTTTTGTCACCCTTGATATATAAAGAAAAAAATATCTATTGATTGAACAAGATATTTTTAATTACATTATCACCAGAAGCTAATAGGACTTAAGTGCTAGTGAAGAGTTGATTTACTTTAAATCTTTATTTTATTTACTTACTTGTTTACTAACTTGTTTGATACCTTAAATAACCAAGTAATAGTACTGATAATAATTACATTATATTACACAAATTTAGTTAATTCTTTTATTTTATAAATAAATCTGAGTTTGTAAGCTAATAAACTCAGATTTAGTTAGAATTAATATATATTTTATTTTTATCGTATTAGTCAACAATAAATCCATTCTAAACTTGAATACTTGATCGTTTAGAATGGAAATAAGGAACAGTGTTGCCAGTGTTTAGTATCGGTAGCCAAGTCTGGCAATACTGCTACCAACCCACCTATTCGGCGTGAGTATTATTACAAATATCTCAAGAAATACATGGTGGTAGGTTCAATCTTAAAACGGAAGGCAGCTGTTGGCTTGTAAAGATAAAGATAAAGATAAAGATCATTTTATTTGTTCAAACATGAGTATACATACATATGCATGCAAGATGTTAAAAGAAAATATCTCGACAGTCATGTTTAGCATCTACGGCGTACAATGTTAAAAAAAAAGTTACAATTCTAATTGGCCTTCGCCTTATTCAGTATTAATAAATAATACAATAAACATTAAAACAGAAAACAAACATCATTAGAGAAGAGAATCTATATATTTAAATATACTTGTACTTAAAAACATACCTTTATTTACCTAAATGATTGTACAAATTCTTAGTGTTACATACTTACATTAGTCAATTTCGTATATTATTACTTTCGAATATTTTATGAATTCTACTTTATTATGTTCAATTAGCAGTAAGATAATGTGTAATAATTTATATAAATGTAGATATTATATGTCATAGCAGTTAGTGGTCAATGTTGTCTTGCAGAAAGTCATTAATATTGTAGTAGGCTTTATTTGCAAGGAAATTATTTAATTTATTTTTGAGTATGGGCCTATGCAAAATATGCTGTTATTCAAGTAGTTTTTGATTTATGTAGACGAATTTACTGTTATCACGTCTATTACGAACGACCGCATCAGACATGCGTGGGAATAGGTTAGGATTGCTCTTAACGAAAATTGCGCTTTCCAAAATATAAAGTGAGGGTAATATCAATAATTTATATTGTATGAAAAATGGTTTACAGCTCTCCGTGACCTTTAGTTTGAAAATGGTCCTTATGCATTGCTTCTGGGCTTTAAATACTAATTCCTAATTCGTAGAGTTACCCCAAAAGACAATGCCGTATCTAAGAATGGAGGAAACTAAACCATGGTACGTTGTGAGAAGGGCATCGATATCGATATGTAAAAATGGGTTATTACGTTTATCCTCCCTAAAAAATCCATCCTAGAGTAGATACTCGGAAATGCGTGTTCGTTCATCGATCCTAGACGGGGTGGATAATCGGACTTCGTATTTTCTTCCGATTTTCTACCTCGCCTGTGTACAGTCGTTTATAGAAACATGATGGCTGTTTGTTAAACACTTTTTTGAATAATTTTGAATAATGATAATAATATGACGTTTGTGAAATGTTTTGAAAAGACATGGCTGAAGGATAAAAATTATATGTCTATTTAGAATTCATTCGGAGTGCCTCGTAGGACTACAAATTCTTTAGATTTAGAATCTTGGCATAAAATTTTCAAATGAAGTTTCATTCAAATTTAGTAAAATTATTGAATTGTAGCAAAAAAGCCCATTTTGGCTAACACATTCTGTTGTACACAGACTTTTTCATTTTTACACACAAAAAAATTTAGAAAACGATTCCAAATGTTAAAAGTGCAAATGCTAAAAGTGACAAATTTATTAAGTATATACAATTACGTCCACTCTAAATGAAACTAATGTCGGATTTCCTGGACGTATTGCAGAATTTATAAATTACTTATTATTATTAAAAACGAGGAAGTTTACTTTGGTTTAAATGCAATACGTAATATGACTTTTGTTTAAGTTTTTGATAATTAAAAATTAACCAATAATAGGTATAGTAAAGTACGAATACATTTTCTATTGAACTGTACTTCGGGTAAAAAGGCGGAACAACAATGAAAAAGTGAATTTCGATTATTTACCCCGTCTGGGGGTGGAAACAGAATAACCCGTAAAAGCCTTTACTTTTATTAAGCCGAATATTTGGAGGTTACAAAAACATACGAGAGTAGTAAACAACTCGATTAGAAATTGCTTTTTGTTTTTTTTTTACCACGTTTTCAATGTCATCCGATTCCGAGCTGTGTTCAAAATCAATTAATTCATCAATGAAGTCTCTAGTCTAGCTTATCGGAAAGTTAGTTTAAAATCAATAACTAAATTCGAAGAGAACAGACATACATGAAAGCGAGTTATTAAAAACGTGGTAAAAACAGTTTGGATACTCACCTTGAATTAACTTCTTCAAACATGCCTGTCGAACGGATGAAGTAGGGGCATATGACTGAAGTATTAACTCCCTTAATGCCGCGTACTTCAAGTTCGATTCTCAACGCTTCGTCGAAGCCACAAGCAGCGGACTTTGACGAACAGTAATCTACCAGCTTGGCCACGCCGACGTGACCAGCCATTGAAGCTATGGTGACAATATGGCCATTATTTTGTTCGATCATGGCTGGCAAGAAAGCTTTTACGGTCTGAAAATTAAAAATTATATCATGAGATCTAATAAATGATCTTTCTTATTCATGAAACGTAACGTTTACGTGGTGGAGCCATGCTGCAGTAATATTATAGTTGCAACACGAATGGGTCATCACGACCAGAGAAGGACCACGCTCTCACAGAATAGAAACTTAATACTGCTGTGTTTCGTATAGAGAACCGTAGAGCCGGAGACCCCTTTTACTGGATACGAAGCATTCCATTTTAGACCTCAGAGGTGACATCGCATCTAAATTTTGATGAGTAGTTGAGGATAGATATAGGATAGATCCGCTTACCATCATGTGGGCTATGTGCTCATTTGACAGTTTGACACCATTATTTTAATTGATAGAATCAGGCGTTGCTTTGCGGAAATCCATTATAATAAAGATATTAATTGTTATTTTGCAACCATCCGCTAAATTAAATAAAATAATGTGTCTTCCCTAGTTTGAAGAGCACCTCCCGCCCTCCCTCAATTGCGTGCACTAATCCCGTCACCACCAATCCCAGCACCACTACTCCAAACACCACTATTCTAGGGTCTTTCCTAGACACACAATTGACGATAATACGACACGTGTTTTGCCTCTACACGAGGCATCTTCAGGTGATGTTGACTCTACGGCGGCTGGCCGCTAAGAGCACGCAATTGAGGGAGGTCGGGAGGTGCTCTTCAAACTAGGGAAGACACATCATTTTATTTAATTTAGCAGATGGTTGCAAAAAAAAAACTATTAATATCTTTACCCCTATGTTATAAAAAAGGTAACAAAATAACAAAACAATTAATTCGTTAAGTGGGTGCCCATTACACCTATTATACCTAAATCGATTTACGATTTAATATGCGCTGTTACCCCTGAGGAATGCTACGCTAGTTATCGTTAATACCCATACGAAAAACAGGAGCATAAAGCTGGCTGATATATATGTGTATTCATGCTGTAGCTTTATGAAAACTCTAGACTAAATTATCACCTTGGTAAGTATGAAATATGACAAAACAAGCAACGGTATTGGCAGCGAGATACATCTACGTTGCAAATTACTGTAATCAATACGCTGCTGAGTGTCCATTATAGTTTTCCAGTTAGAACGATGCCCATTAATAGCAATGGGTCTTTAAGCTCTGAAGAGTATAACGGACAGACGTTTAGGCTAGTTATTGATATTATTTGTTACGCGATAGTAGTTGAATAGCTAAGAGTACCTGCGGACTGTGATACTCAAAGTTGTGAGTTCTAATCCGCCATTTAACTACTGCTGTGAACGTTTCCCAAGTATTTCAAGCTTAGCTGGAATTGTTAACAGGAGTAAGCATTTCTAGAATAATTTAAGAAAAAATGTTACATATATATATACACACACACATATATATATTAACAGTATATTTGTAACGCACCCAGAAATGAGCTAACACGTTGACGTCAAAAGTCCTCTTTATTAGGTGATCGGGCGTATCCAGTAGGTACTGTCCGGACACAACACCGGCGTTGTTGATCAACAGGCTTACCTGAAAAAAATATGTTGATTTATATAATTTATTAATTTTTGTTAAATATATTTTAGCATATAGTTTTAATTTTTATATTAAAGCCCTAATTTTGACCCTTCTTGCCAATACAGGGTTGCCATTCTAGAATCTTTCTTCTTTATCAGCTGTCAGTTCATCAAGCTATATTTAAAACTACCCTTCCAAGTCATAGCTCTTAATACCTATTTGATTTTACTTGATTTCAAGGTAGAGTTACCTTGAAAGACTATTATTATCATATAAAATATATCATTGAATTATTTTAGTAATAGAAAATAGAGACTTCTATAAAATACCGTAAGTTGTATCTTCGAATTTTGAGGAAATTATTTTGTAATATGTACCTGAATTTAAAATTGGAAAAAAAGGGAAATTATATTAAGTTGCTGCTAATTACACCGGTTCAGTTACTCAAAATAATGTTATGACTTGGAAACGATAAACAATGACACAGTAATTTAGTTGAGCATTTTTGTTATTCATTTTCACAGTTATCACATACGCATATTCGTATAATCACCCATGTACAACGAGCTTTTTCAATATATTTTTTAATAAAAATATTTCTTCACTATAAATTTCTCCAGTATCTTAGAGGCGTTTTACATACATGAATTACACCTAGACCTTATTTTTATTTGTAGTCTATATCAACACTTGTTCCGTGCGGAATTTGAACCTGTGGTAACGCAGCGTCGCAGCCGAGTGCCTAACCACTACACTATTATTATCGGTAATATTTGTCCATTCTTACCACGTAATCGATTTGCTGATTACAGAGTCTCATTGTAATGTCATCTTCCGCTCTCCTTCCTCGTGTCTCCGAATTTTCGAATTCGGTTTGATTGTTGCCATTAGTGGGAACTCTAAATAAGACTCGGAATAAGATGTATCTTATTTATAACATTATTTATGCCTAACCTATGGTTTGAAAGCAGTCAGATTCGTTAGTTACAAACCTTCACTCATAAGTTATATTATAAACTAGCTGTTCCCCGCGACTTCGTTCGCGTGAAATTTATTTTTATTTATTTTATTTAACAAGTACACTTACAATACACATATATGACAATCACGAAAACATACACATTTCTATACTCTCTGATATTGATATCAATAACAAGTGTACATAACATTCACAGATTGAGTCGTGCAATATTTGGGTTAATTTGAAGTACAAATATCATCCAATCAATACAATGCAAATTAGAATTATTCAAATAAATTATATACGTAAATAAGAAAAATTTAAAGATAAAAAACAGGTTTAATTATTAAAGTGGAATATGATAGATATTATATTCTCTTCAGGAGTATGTATATTTTTAATTTAAGTTTAAGATATATTATATCGAAAATGTAATTTATATCGGGAACTCGACGATAAATGATTTGTAAGTTTAATTTTGAATGCAATATAAGAGTCGGTAAATATGAAGTAATTTAATAAAATTTATTACGATTGAATTTCATAGATTTGATTTTTTTTGCGAAAGACCCCAATTCTCTTTCTAAAATAAAAATAAGACTAAGTTACTCCTTATAACATCAGCTATATGTCAGTGAAAGTCCTGACAAAATTGGTTCACCCATTTCGGAGATTAGCCGGGACGAAGAGAAAAACAAAAACAAAAATTTTGAAAAATGTTTTTTGTTTTGAAAATATTTCATATAGCTGTACCCCGCGGCTTCACCCGCGTATATTTTACGTGCCTGCGCCGCGCGACTTGACATGACACCTCGCTAATTTAGTTCAATTATTTTAGCTAAAAAATTGACTAAATTAATGTGGTTCTTTTATCTATTAGCATATGTATGTTATATAGCAATGTTAAATTTTATCTAGACGGGGTGGATAATCGGATATTTATTTGAATAAGAATTAATACTATTATATTACTGTAACCGACTTTTGTTTCGACCGGTGACCTACTTAAATTTTAAAACACCAAAGCGTGTGACGTGTGACTTAATTATGATAGTTAAATTTATTTCTTGCGCGGACTTTTTTGCAGGAAATAATGCGTACTTTAATCATGTAGCACATAATTTTTATGTATCATAAAGTTTTCTCAGTGCACGTCAAAGTTAATTTTATAGGCAAAATTTTGCTACAATTTTTCGGCGTTACTATTGCACATTTTAACATGAAAAAGTAGTTATTGTGAGATAACTGTAATAGTTAGACATATGGTATTGCGGACTATCTTATAGATATTGATATCTTCTATAAAACTGTAGTATACCACTTTGCTTTATTGTGAATAGTTTCCGCAGCGCATGTGATATAAGGATTTTTCGACGTTACTATTACATATTTTTATATGAAAAAGTGGTTATTGTGACATAACCATAATAGTCGCCTCAGATGACCCGAGAGGCTGACTGGGATTAGCCCATTCGCAGAGACGACTACAGGAATAATTTCGGTCGGCAGACCACCCCACATGTCGGTCCAGATATTTTGTTCGTTTCTCTGTTTCGGTTTTCACGAGGTTCTCGTCATACGGAATGGTAATGTCGATCAAAAATATCCTTGACTGTGCCCGGTCCATCAGCACAATATCAGGTGTATTCGCAAGAATAGTCCTGTCTGTGATGATGGCCCGGTCCCAGTAGAGCCTGGCGCGGTCATTTTCGAGCACGGCTTCCGGCAAGTACTTGTAATACGGCAATTTTCGGTCCACGAGATCGTATTTCAGAGCGAGCTCCTGGTGTAGAATTCTGGCTACTAGGTTGTGCCTGTGCAAGTACTCAGAGTTAGGAAGCGCCGAACAACCGGAGATGACATTCCTAAGTGACTCCTCGGGATGGCGACAAGCTCGACAGACGTCGACAGTGCCATCCTTTAGGATGTATCTCCGATAGTTGTTGGTCTTAATAACCTGATCCTGTATTGCACAGACAAAACCCTCGGTTTCCCCGAAGAGGTCACCGAAACGTAGCCAGTTGAGGGAGGCGGCTGTATCTACGTGAGGCTCATGTAGAGCCCTGTAGTACCTCCCGTGGAGCTCCTTCTCCTTCCATACGGTCTCCCGGTCGGAAATGCTCTGTACTGCCGGGTCTTGCCATTGCTCGTTGGCTAAGGATAGAGGGGTAAGTCCTTTATCACTAGAAATGACGTCATTATAGAATGGATCATCCGATCTCGCCAGGAAGTAATGACGGAGGCTGCACACTTCGCGATTATGAAGCCACGCCCACCATGCTTTCGCGGCTAGTACAGCCTCATTACCTACGATCTCGGATTATGCATCCTATGGGACGTCATTGTAGTGCGGACTTTTCTATCCAGGGCGTTAAGTTCAGTCTGACTCCACCACTCCATATTATTATTATTATTATTATTAATTATTATATTTATTATAAATGTGTACACACATACATACGTTGCGTGTTGCTTGTAGATTTCATGTAAAAACCGTTTGTTTAGCTTTTCTTTTGTGAACAAGTGTGCAATAGGAAACCAATCAATTAGGTGTTACGATGCTTCCTCGCTTCTTATTTCTTTTTTTTTGCAACTTGAACACATTGAACATTTACTCAAAACATTCGCTGATTCCGAAAGATAGCTATATCCATTTACATGCACGACAAATTTAACTATCAAGATGTAAAAACAAAGTAATGAGGTTACTTTGGAAAGTACACGGCCGAAATTTAAGGACAACTGCTTTAATCTCGAGACACGGTTTTGTGAAATATCTCCAAGTATTAATTACGTACTATTTTTATAAACCTGAAGTGAATAGCGAACTAACAGCCAACCTGAAGATGCAGTATGCATCATGGACCTTACCTGTGGGTTTACATGGACAACTGCAACTAACATTAAGGAAGTATACAGATTCGTTATCATCAATGAGGAATAAGATGGAATGTCTCACAGCCGGTTACTATAGTGACTCCCTATATCCTTCAGAACGCATACGCAACAGGAGTGCATACTACTTCTCGGCGGCAGAGAGATGTGTGACGGTGGTAGCTACACAGACGGACTTCTAGATAGAAAGGAAAGAAGCTATTACCTTATACATTTACAATGACCGACTGGTCAAATAAGGTATATTCCTTCCTGTTTCCAGAACGCATACAAACTTTCCAAATAAATTGATAGTTTTGCAGTAATTTATTAAATTCGTATGCTCATGTCGTTTGTCCATCATCTAATTTTCAAAATATTTACTTATTATAAATTCGGAACAACCATTTAGATAATACAGTAACAAATCGCTTTGCAGAACTATTAAACATTTTCATATAAAATAAATGTTTCTTCGTTCAGGTTTCTATACTATTCATCCGACTATAATGAATTGGTAAGTTGTTATGTGCACGTTTTAAAAGATTTGTCACAAAAAATATTGGTTTGTCTATTTGTTCGTTTTTTATGTGTGTTAGGTACCATTCATTCGATGAAACTTTAATGAGTCGTGTGCGCGCTTGCGAATGTTTTTGACAAAAAAGGCATTGCTACGTATTTCGGTCACAGCTAGTGCTATAAGTGTAGGCTCCATAAAAGGTGTGACAAATTTTTTAGAATGAAGAATTAATTCCTATAGTCATTACAGCCTGTCAAATGTCAACCGCTAAAGGTATATACGCCTTTTTCTCCTACATCTCATAAGACATCCATGAGATGATTTAGATTAATGGATTCTCATACGCCGCCACTACATGGCATTAAAGAATAGGTAACACCAACACACCAATATACATTTTTTTAAATAACGTAATTTATTTATTTATTTATTTGTCACACCAACAAGATATACACTACAAGCTTTCTAAGAGTAGACAATAAATAGTTTAATGCTCAGTGATACCTCTTTTATAGGTGTAAACTACATGAATATTGAGCGTCATACTCACATTGCTTTTTGCTTTATAAATAGTTATATTAAAGAGAACATTACAATAAAAACAGTACAATCAGATTTACAAATACACAGTTCTTAAACATTACGTTTTGCTTACGAAAATATAAAACAATACCAAAATTTCAATGTCAAAGAATTAAAATGTTATTATATAAGGAAAAAAATGTTTATGAATAAATAAAGATGAAAACAATGTCAGTTTAATGTCAATGATAATATCAATTTGAATTACTAATTAAAAAATTAAAATACAATTATTAAAATTAAAATTATTTTATACAGCAATAAAAAAAGAAACATTAAAAAGTAACACAATAAATATTTTAAAAATCGTTTATCATTTGAGAGACTACCTTTTAAAGCGACGTAAGGGGTCTGAGAAAATATCCAAAGTTTGTGTCTTTCGACGTTTTTTCGAAATACATGGGCGATCTTTGAATATAATTTGTTCACTCCCGGTATTACCAATATCTTTGTTATGTATCTCGTTGTAACTCCTCATTAATCTGTTTAGAGGAGCATAATAGCCTAGATGCGACCGTGCTAACTTTGTGACGAATGGAGCGTATTTCTTATACCTGGGCGATCGTCTGGGAATAGCAAAATTAATATGAGATATAACGTCTGGAGCGTCGATGTAACCATTTATCATTTTATAGAGGAATAAGATGTCCGACATCGCTCTGCGCTCGACGAGAGGTTTCATATGAAAGTATTTCAAACGATCATTATAGCTAGGCAAGAGTTTTGCTAATTTACAACTGTAAGTCAAGTGCCAGAGGAATCTTTTTTGTACACCTTCTATACGCTTTTTATATACGTCGTAGTGCGGGGTTTCACACCACGCTGCAGTATTCTAAGCTACTACGCACAAGTGCCATATAGATTGCGATTTTTGTGCTCGGATTTTTAAACTCCCTACAGTTACGTAAGACAAACCCCAAGGTCTTGAAGGCTTTTTTAGTGATGCTATCTATATGTAAGTTAAATCGCAATTTGGTATCGAGAGTTACACCCAAATCTCTAATATGATCAACCTCTTTTAATGGTACATCGTCAATACAATAATATCTAGTCACTGAGAGCTTTTTTCTAGTGAAGCGTACCACGTGACATTTGTCAATATTCAAGCTCATACTTCGATTTATATACATTCGATTTGCACCATAATACTAGATTTTCCAAGTCATTTTGAAGCAACAATACATCCTCTAATGAATTTACTAATCTAAAAAACTTCAAATCATCGGCGAACATGTGAAACTTAGAATTTTGGAAATACTTACCGATATCATTAATAAAAACGTTGAACAGCATGGGACCCAGATGGGATCCTTGAGGAACTCCGGAAAAGGCAGTAAAAAAGCCAGATTTGAATCCCCCTGCTACCACCACAGACAGTCTATTTGTTAGGTAAGATCTGAACCAGCGCAAGAGATTACCGCCTATACCGACACATGATAATTTGTGCAATAACATATCGTGATTGACTTTATCAAAAGCCTTACTAAAGTCAGTGTATATGACATAGAAAGACAGCGCATGATCAACACCTTCGGTCAGGCCTTCAACGAAGGATATCAGATTAGTCGCGGCAGAGCGGGCTTTCATAAAACCGTGCTGTTCCAGTACAGTAAAGTGTCTTAGATGCCAAGACATTATAGAGCACAGTAGTTTTTCAAAGACTAGCAAACACCGTTATAATTGATATTGGCCTATAGTTTTTCACTAAGTTTATATCACCTCCTTTGTGTTTTGGTATAACAAGAGAAGTTTTCCAAGCGCTGGGAAAAGTTCCGGAACAAAGAGATTTATTAATTATCAAGGATAGAGGTAAAGCTAGAGCACCAGCACATCTTACAGCAAAGATAGATGGTATTCCATCTGAGCCAGCGCCTTTAGTGGAGTCAAGTCTCTTTAAGACCCTAAATACTTGGTCTTTAGTCACTGAAATATTGGTAATAAAGTTAGAAGCGGGGGATTTATCTGCATAGTGCTCGTCTGGAATGGATAGTTTGTCAATATTGTAGACTGAAGAGAACTGTGAAGCAAAAAGTTCGCAGATATCCGGGCCAGTAGTGGCAAGAGTAGTTCCAGAAGACATTTGGGCAGGGTAGGTACTACTACTGCCCCTTTTGTGTTTAATGAAACTCCATAGTAGTTTAGGATTTGATTTCAAAGATGTCTCTAGTCGTAGCAAATAAGTTTCATAATTCTGGCTAAGTAATTTCGTACATCTATCTCTAAGGAGTTCAAAGGTCAATAAATCCCGAGGGTTTTTAAATTTACGGTGTTTAGATCTGTATTTATATTTTTCCTTGATTACCTTAATTAACGTGTGTGAAAACCATATGGGGTATTTCTTATTATTACGAGGTTTGGACTTGGGTACATGTTTAACTATGATGGATTGAAGTACTTTATAGAAATGTGCTACCATGTCATCTACGTTTTCCTAACGCGACAATTCGTCTTCCCATGATACACTATTCAATTCATTTACAATTTTAATAAAATATGCTTTATAAAACATAAATTTGGGTTCAGGCTTGGTTAGGAGATAATTGTCACATTTAAGTCCCACACAGAATTCGATAGGAGGATGCAACGGGTCAATCACCGATAATGGGTCGGTACTTACGTAGAGACTGGTGATATCCAGTGTACTTATTATCAGATCCAACAGTTTGTCTTTATTGTTAAAACAGGAATTGTGCTGAACTAGATTATTAAGAGACATGAAATCAACGAGCATGTTATTAAGTAGACTATTGGATGTTACAGGTTTGAGTGTGTGACTAACAGTCTTAGTCCAACATAAGCTACTCAAATTGAAGTCACCAAGTATAAGAGTGTTTCCACTGTGGTTTTCTAATATGCGATTTGCATTACTAATAAATTGCTTAAGTATATGCATTTTTACTGGAGGATATATACGCCACAGATGTACAGGTGTCTGTCTTTATTAAAGCTATCATATATTTCCACTTTAACCCATAAATCTTCACAATCCGACTCCTGCGCACTCAAACGGCACGATTTAAAGCGTTTAGAGACAGCAATGAGAACACCACCTCCCATTTTTTCACCATGGAACCCGCTGTTTTCGCGGTCGCGTCTGTAGACCGTGTAACGGTCATCAAATAATTCATTATCGAAAATTGTGCCATTCAACCATGTCTCTGTGAAAACAATAATTTCAAAATTACAACAAACTACATTATTAAACATTTCAATAGTTTTTGTCCTCAGACCCCTAACATTTTGGTAGTAACAAGTAAAAGTGCCTTTTAGTACAAATATAGCAGATATAGCGTAATCATGACAAACGATTTAAAAGGTCGAGGTTCTTTACATGGACGTAGTTTGATTCTTCATTTTTGCGCATGTATATCCTACCATCACGCACCCATAGAAATTTGTAATTCAGTTCGCGAGCTTTGGTTCGCGCAGCAGCGTGCAAGCTCTTATTTTCCGGGGAGAGATGCTCCATGACGTAAATAGCAGTCTTCTTATCCCCTCCGATGCCTAAGTGGCTCGAATTGAGTTTGTCGTCCCGATTGGTTTTGTTAAACATGCAGTCGCATCGAGAAAATCGTCTCACAGGCGGGGACTGCTGAATTTTACTAAGATGGATCGAAGCCGCGGACTTGAGCTATTCATTTTGGCTAGTCGAGAGCAGTAATGAATGTGTGACTCAGTGATGGGGCATTTTATAATTTTGCCCAGTTGCACTACAGTGTTGATAAGATTCTCCTGCCTATTTTCAGGTACACACTGGATTTCAATATTTGAGCAGCGTGATTGTTGGTCTATTTGGGCTATTCGTGACGATAAGGATAGATTATTTAATAATAATTAAACAAATATTCTGTCTCAGATCTTAGTTTCTCAATCATGCTAACGTGTGCGGCATTGCTAGCCTTGATTTTTTCAAGTTCCTCGTTAAAATGAGCCATAGATGCCTCGAGGGAGGACACTGCGTTTTGGACCTCTAAAAGGTGCGGGTGAATCTGGTGGTTGAATAACTGTTGCAATTCTTCGCGGATGATGTCTCGAATGCTACTAGCCGACAGACAAGAGCAGTTTGTAGCGGTGGTGCGTGTCTTGCCGCGCTTTGTAACGTAATCAGGCTTCGGCGATGGCGGCGGGTTATTATGGGTATTATGGAGTGTTTGTGTTGTCGCCTTTACGTTCCTTGCAGCGGCACTACGCAAATCCAGTTTGATTTGTCTTCCTGCGACATCTTGTTGTAATCTTTCGAACTAATGTTCATGCACAAGAGATGATAATTTGCAGCACAGCGTGAACAGAGCAGGACAGGAACATCCTTTGAGTTACTCAAACAAGCCGCACATTCTTTGTCGGATTCCATATTTGAAAATAATCCTAATATATATATATATATATCCTAATGAATATATAATAACAGCCATTATTAACTTTTGCCGTGTCGTTTCTAAGAAATACAAAAAAACACTGTTAACCAAGCTAAAATAAACCAAGCGTGAAAAAAGCGATGACCTAACATATACACAAAAAATGCCTTTTTGAGAATTGTCTTAGTTCTTTACCGAAACAAATTTATTTTAATACAGAAAATGCATATTGTTTATCTTTTAAATATTTTTTGACGCAATGTTCGTTGCAATTTATATTTTTCACGCACGGAACGAAGTTTAATTAAACTCTAAAGTTTTAAAGTAATACAAAATAAAAATGATATTGAGGTATGGAAATGCCAGTTTTTATTGTTTTAAAAGATTATGAATATTTGCAAAACATGATTTCATATTTGTAAAGTACTCGAAGAGACATGACTCACCGTCCCGACTTCCTCGTGCACCGTCTTTGCGACCCTGTACACGTCTTCTCGACTCGCCAGGTCCACAACGTACCCGTGACATTTTCCTCCTATCCCCTTGACTAGCTTCACAGTGTCATCCAAACCTGAAAGGTTAAATAACATAAAATAACATAAAAGTATAACACTTCAATATCTACTTTGACAGTTAAACAACATTATTTGTATGTCCACGCATATGTTTAGAAAAATTACATGTGATAATAATTAAAAAATAAAAAATACGTGTGGCACTCGGTGACCGCCGCGGTAAAGCTATTGCATAGCATTTTTTATCAACTTATGCAATTATAATTATTTATTTATGCAGTTAAGTCTTTGATATTAAATCAAGTTACACTTTTTGAGAGTGGTGACCGATAAGAAATCAATTTTTTTTCTCTTATTGAATAAATGAGAAGTTAATATTGTTTAAAATATTTTTAATATCTTACAATACATCATTTAGGTTATTCAGGAATTTTTATCATTCAGTTAGCAGCTAGTGTACACGCATACGTCTAGTCGCACGCACACAAACACCGTGCCGAACTCTGCCGGGTGCCGAAGTCTGCCGAACTGAAACGACGTTAGACGATGCACGGCTTTCAACGGCGCACCTCCGTGCCCGTCGGAGTGGGGAGCGTGAAGTTTTTTTCGTTACGGAATTTCTGGATTCGGTCCCCGCGCTCAAGGCCCGCGATAGAAGCTATGCAATAGGTTAACCCCTTGTGTGGCATCCGGCCAGATTCTGGCCGATGGTTAATTACGCGCGTCTGGCAAGCGTTCAGATTCTGGCCGATCCGTGACTGCGTATTTGGGGGGGTAAAATAACCAGCGACAACGATTTCTATCACATTTTTACTTATAGAAAATTATAAAACAAAGAAAGAGGATGCGATACAAAGCTACTAAAGTACTGCCATGTTTAGAAATTTCGAATAAACATCCTGTGTGGCAGTCGCATACGAACGTCGCTTTTATGTGGTCACCCGTCCCGCTTTTTGTCCTTATTTTTATTCGTAAATCGAACAAATAGTGAAATTTGGTGCTATTTAGACATGGAAGGGTTAATAACCAACAGTTTTTAATTCATAATTTAGGGATATGTATCCTTTTTATAAAAAAAAATCGAACATAAACCGTCGTTATACTTACTTACCTTACATTTATCTCTATTGTTGATTAAAAATACATTACATACTTTTTAGAAATGAAACTTTATCTAAATTAAGAACTTGAGCCATACTTAATGTTAAAATTATCGCACGCCACTTGACTTGCTCATTTCTCAAAATAAAACTAACAATATATGCTATTTTTTTGTGCGACGCTTGGGTTGCCGTTAATGTATTAAGATTGTAAAAAACTTTTGGGGTAAAAATATATAGGAATGTGTGGGTTTTTTGCTTTTTTATTATAAATTAGTGTATATTGATTAAAATAAATTACATTTATTTTATAAAAGAATGATTTTTTTTGTTTAATTTTCACAAATTATGCACAAAATACTATTAAAAATTTGGTTTTCCAACTTTGAAATTGGCTTAATAAAATCTATTAAGTTGTATTCAAGTAAGATATCTACAGAGTAATAGCAAATAATATAACAATTCATATGACATAAGTTTTATACATAGCTTCCATACAATATTTTAGAGAAATTACTAATTTAATCGCCACGCGCCGATGTCGCGAAATTACCTCCTAAGACCCTAGCAGACGCGACATATTTGCAAAATGACCGGCCGGCAGACGAGGGGTTAATAACAAGGAAAAAAGAAGAAAGATCTTGTAAAAGACATTTGAACACTTTTTGAAGATTTCGAAGAGTAAAAATTGCCGGCGACAGCTGATTCCAAAGCAGGCGTCGGAGAAAGAATCCTTTCCTACGGGTTTGAATTCTGCATAGGACAAGTATTTTTTATTAATTTGTAGACCATACAATGATACTAAGTATTTGTAGTTTTATATGTATAAAGTTTTGTTCCGGATTTGATATTTGTCATACCATTTTAATTATTAATGTGAACCATAAAGCACTATTCTACAAATCAAGTTTCCTCTTATATCTGAGAGAATTATGGATCCAGAAAAGCCTACTCCAGAGTTGAACTGGTAGACTCGAAATAGTTGTTATTTCTGAGTCAAGCACGTTAGCAACGAACTATTCATTTGAATTAAATTGACGGCTCCGTGTCGCAAAGCTTAGCAATGAGCTGCGGTACCGAGGGCCGCAGGTTCGAATCGCGTATGAAAGAATTATTTATATAGCTTACAGATAATTGTTCTAAATGTGGATGTTTTCTTTTCGTGTGAAATATATGTATGTAAACTGTATCTACGATATCAAACAACACTCTAGTGTAAGGGCAAACCTTTTAATAAAATAAAAATTAAAAAGTTTAAATTACATTGGCACCGGTAGAGATCAAACTCATTTTCAAGGAGAAATTTGGTACTGTTACATCTACTACGGTGGCAAACAAAAAAAAAAACCGAAAGAATTTGTTTTTATTGCAACGATAACAACGAAAAAAAATGAACTAAATTTCAAGACAATACCAATAACCATTAAGGAACCATTGAGAGGACATGTCCACTGCAAGAAGTCAACATAAATTTCCTTTTCTCACCTAATCAATCTCAACGTCTACACCAAATTTCAAAAGTGGTTTTCATTCAATATCTACAATGCTTTAATTGTAAATACAAAATTCGGTTACAATTAACAAGAAATCATGAGTTATTTTGTCTCAGAGACTTTTAAAGACAAAATTAATCTGATGATCTAATGACTTTAATTTGACCCTAAGGTATCTAATAAACGCATACATCGTAGGTCGGAATAGGTAATAGGTATAGACGTGTCATAAAACTATAAAAATATGCACTCGGCTTGTTAATATTGACCGACCAGTGTACGAATATCGAATCTAATTTTATAAGAAATCACTTAACTCATAATTTTATAAAAAGTGATTATTTCAGTAAAATAGTTTATATAATTTTTAAGGCGTCTCCTCACTCAATGGCTAGACTTAGTTTCGGGCGAAAAAATCGAGCTTTCTTGTCATCAGACACGAATACAGTTGCAGTTGTTGTCGTCTTATGGACGACACACACGGTCAGTTCAACTTATATATAAAACTAACAATAAATAAACTTACATATAAAACTCCAATATTGATATATTTATAATCATCGATATATCGAATATCCGTTATTTTAAAAATATCAACATTCCTAATTTGAACTGATCAGTTGGTATCATCAGTTGAACTGACCGTCTGTGGCGACCATTAGAAGACCCACAAATTTATAGTCTCTAAAACAAATGCCACGATTATATCTGAGGCTCGTAATTGCGCCATTTACACAGTTTAACCGCTTGTTACATCGATGAACTTAAATAAAAATCTAAATAATTAAAAGTTAAATTTTAATTAACATATTTAAGCGTAAGTATAACTACATTTCTAGCGATCAGGTTACTGGCATTGACCTTTATAACATGTGACCGTTAACATTGCACCTACATAAAAAGATTCAAGTGTGTTGGTAGAGAAAGTAACGGGCCAACCAAAAACGAGAATGTGCATGATGTTGAATTGTCAGCAGGAACAGCTTTCGTGCAAAAATTTAACAACTCACAAGCATCTGAGAACACGATGAATGCGGGATAACGGCATAATATGTTTTAGCCTCGATAGTGATATTATGGACTACATAAAACTATTTATACGAATTTTATTGCGTTTAATTAACTTATAATTAATTCCCGTCTTTTATTGATTAATTAAACGCGATGAAATCATTATAAATAGTTTTATTCAATATGTAGTGTTCGCGTAAATTTAAGAAATCATTAATATTATGTACTGCAATAAAGTGAAACTAATTATTTTAGTTGAACTGTTAACATAGTTTTGTTATTTACGATAGACTTTTTGCGGTATATTATGTAAAAGTGACATTGTTTTTATTTAATAAGATCTGATGGTAAGTGGATATTGTGGCTCATAGAAATCTATACTCTTTCAGTCCTCAGGGGTGACAACATATTATCTACATTTTGTTTCTTTGTTATTGTCACCCCTGAAGACTAAGATAGAATGCCCATTTCCAGTAAAAAGTTTCTCCGGTTCTCTGCACTCACCATACAAAATACAACAGCATTAAGCTGCTATTTTAGGCTGGCATTCTGGTAAGAGCGTGGTCATTCCTCGGTTGAGCCAAAGAATTTGTGCTACAACCACGATATACCTGTAACATGGCTCTACCACATAGATTTTTGGTTAATATTATTATTTTTTGTTAATGCCTTGGTGAACTTTGCATGGCCAATATCCTTGCAGATATCCTCGCAAATATCCTCGCAATAACAATCTTTGTTTCTTTAATAATATAATATTTTAACTGGAAATTGTCTTTTATAATAATATTCACATAGCGAAGATTTTGGATGATGTTTAATGACATCTTGACTAATCATATAGTTGATCATATCTCAAGACCAAAAAATCGACACAATGTTAAAAAAATAAAGGTTTTTATCAACATCGAATCACCCACTACATCGTCTTCAGAATATAAGACACGCGAGTCTTCGAAAATATTTCTTTGAAGTTACACTAATAATGCTTTTCCCGCATTACCAGTCTAGAGATTGGGTTTGAAATTTTCGAATAGATGTTTTGATGCGTTTGATGGTCGCCGGTCTTGTGCGTTCATTGGGTTACACCTAAATAAAGACAACTTAGTGTTTTATGAGAGTATTATATCTATCTCCTTTACACATAATGTAAATCAAAAACCTGTTGGCTGTTGGCGGGGTGACTAGAGTCTCACAAGTAAAGCAAGCAAGCTAAGTCGACTCCCCTATCACTAACTGATGGCCAGTTTACATTATCATAGCGCTTTAGGACATTAGTACCACTCGAATGTGAGTGCTTCAATGTAACTCGAAACTAAAATAAAAGGCAGTTCAATTTGATTTTAGTAGAAAGTCGAGAATTGTACTAAAGCAAGTAGTACTAATGAATAAAAGCTAACGTTTATATGTTTTTCCAATGAACCTGATGGACGGACAAACCAGAGCATCTCA